CAGGGTTTGTCTCACTGGTAAGCATGTTTATCAAGTGATTCTTCTTGCATGTTAAAAATGTTAAACCTCACAAGGGGATACCTACTAAGTAGTCATTGATTAAAATAACTTGCCGTTAGACTACTTTTATTTTTATGTATCAGACCCAAAACTTTACTTTTTCATTTATTGCATCCAGTGACATCCATTTGACTTTATACCTTTTTATCCTCCTTACCTGTGTGCTGCATTGTGTACATATGCAGGGAAGAGTTTAAGGTGAAAAGTTACAGATGAAGCAGAACACCCATATATGACAAAAAAACATAACTGAAAAGAAAATTGTACCTAGATTGCCTGGCTCAATCAATCCTGGCTCAGCTATCCTACCAGAAATAAAACTGGATGAGACTTACTAACTCCATGGTTCTTTCACTTGGGGAAACGTTGTTTTGGATAGGTATTCACGTTAGTAGCTCTGTATAGGGGTAGATTCTTACAGGAAAACTCTCATCATTCAGATGAACTGTGCTTCACTGTGCTTTGAGCATACATAGCTGTGCTTCCAAGTAAACCAGGCAACTTACAAAATGATATCTATGGCTACCTGTAAAACTTAACTGGTAGGTAGGGCAAACGGTCCTACATAAATTGCCTTTCTGTACAACCACAGGACTAACACGTAATTTAAATGGACGATAGTGTAGATGTTCTGCGTTTCAAGCACTCATAACTTGTGATCAGAGTGGTTTCCCAGTGTTCAAAATAGAGCAGAATGAAAGAGTTTGGCTTGCAGTAAAATACTACTGCCGCCTTAAAATCATAATCTGCTGCTAGCTGACAGATCTAAATAGTGGTTCAAATGCTGGATTACAGCAGTACCAAGCTGTGAGTTTACACTCTTCTCAAGAGCAGTTATTGCAATGCTCACTGAAATGATAACAAAATAATATTAATTTCTATACTAAAATGCTAGTATTTAACTTCAAGTCCTTCACATAAAGATTACTGTGTTATCTTCACTCATTCTGTTTAAAACATTCACAATACTAAGAATCCTGAAGCCTCTAGGACGTCTCAGAAAATATGTCCTGCAGTGTCCTGATCAGTTTTCTTCCAGTTATATGACTTTTTTTCCCCTCCTCTTCCCACTATATTCTTTCCTTTATCCTGATGTATATATAGCCTTACATTGCAGAATTGCAAGTGGAGCTGGCAGGGATCCAGGACAACCTGTCAGCAGAGGCAGCAGTGAAGTGATGAGTCAGCAGAGACACTGTGTGTCTTTGCAGTCGGCTGTAGCACTGCTCAATTCCAACCTCCCTGGAGGTAACTCTTGTCTTTGACATTGAAAAGTGTCCAGATTTCCTGTTCATCTTTATTTTGATGAAAGGGAGGACATGTCCTTCTCTGAACCTGAAAACATGGAGCTGCCCTACAAAAACTAAACACCCAAGGAACAGAGGCTCTGTGTGATCTGAGGGTTTTTGAGGCTTAACCTGAGAACAAGGCTGCCAGTTTTGTAAAGAAATTCAATAAGAACTTTCACTTAAACTGACTGGAGTGTTACAACTATTTAAAAATAGCATAATTTCATTGCATTTATGCCACACTGCATTCTGTACACCCCCAGTGTGATAGCTGCACACAGAAAAATCCAATAATTGCTACATACACTGGGATTATTTAGAATAAGATTAAATTATCTAGGGTTCAGAAATAGATGTCTACTTTTAAAGGCGTTATGTTGAAAGGAAATAAAAGGGGCCAGTCATGTATTTATTTGGTCTTCATTTTTTTAAACAGCTTTTTTAATAACAAGAGTTTCAATGGCTCCCTCTTGTGTCAAGAAAAACGCAGTATTCTGTTTGGCAAAAAGTAGTCCTTGAACAGAAATCACAACTTACCTATATTTATAGGGAGTAGTCTAGTTATCAGTATGTTGTGGTGACTGGTGAGGAGACTTGCTGCTCAGGTACTCTTTAAGATACCTAAAAGAAGTACCTAAGCATGACTAGAATAGTTACTTTTCAGCTGCATATGCTGAAGGGTAGGGGAAAAGTGACCCATATGTATTGCACCCCTTCGAATTAGGTAATGCAGACTAGACTATACTGTGTCTCAGGTCTTTGTCCTTAGGTATTAAAGCTCTGTAACATCTCAGCACAGAATACCTGGATTAGTGTAGCTTAATTTACTACTGGTGTTTCTCACAGGTGAGCAAATGTTCATGTTGCAAGGGGTGGGAGGAATGTAATGAACTGGAGGAAAGCTCTGAGCATAAATGAGTCAGTGAAAGGCAGTGAGGAAGCATAAACTGGGTTTCCACAACCAGTTTTCAACAAATTTCAAGTCTCCTTTCCTTCTTTCTATTACTTACTAGCTGATGAAGTTTTCACTTAGGTTTTTAACTCGTGAAAGCTTTCTTAATGGTAATTAATACCTATAAAACTCTGAAATTAAGAACTGAGACTTCATCATAGCATGCAGCATGCTTCGGTAACTTCGGATATTAAGCAATAATATTAGAAATTAACACAGACAGGACAGACTAGAATCTTGGTGACCTTAAGAGACAAATTAAATGTATCAGGAAGTACATGTGTGCATACACAGGAAGTATCTACCATAGCTTTTGAGAATGCAGTTCTGAAAAACTTTGTTTCAAGACAACAGACTTCAGTTCTGTGGTTTCTCACAAAATCTGTCCCTGCATAGTTATGAATTTAAAAAAAAGAAAAAAAAAACAAACACCAACAACAACAACAAAAAAAAACCCACAAAACAAACACCCCCCCAACCCAACCAAAACCAAACTAGGCTCACTTCAGAGTGGGATTAATCATACTGATGACTTTAGAGCATGATAAAGCTACTTTGCAGATAATTCTCTTGGGATAATCCCAATTCATCCTGATTCAGGAGTCTGGTGGTACAGACACAGGAGTCTGTTTACTAGTTTGAAGGTGGAGGCTTTAAAATACCATATTGTGAACTCTGGTGAAGTACTTTATGCTTTGTAAAAAGATTTCCCTGTTGCAGCCTTACAGGGTGTTAACAGAATGAATGACAGTATGACTACAAATATCAAATTACACGCTTTTAAAATCTACAACTTTGAGAAGTAAGAACAAATCACTTGGAGGAAGATACAGAGGGAGTTACCACTTGTTCACAGAGAGAAAAAAGTTACTGCAGTGCACAGAAGAATCATTCAATATGTTAAGTTTCTTGTTTAAGGGGTTGTATAGTGGCACCCCACAATCCATTTCCACACTTCAGAGTAGAACTGATGAGGGTAGACTTAACTGAAGAGTAACTGAAAGGATTTATCAAACCTAAAGTGTGTACTTAAGCTCAAAACTGCTGTTCTGAAAAGACCTGACCAGCTGCCACCTGGGACTAGATACACCTAAACTCAAAAATAGGTTACCCTGAAATAGTAATGGGCAACAGAAGTAAGCATTTATTAGCTTTAATACCAAAATGGGACATAGAGGGGCCTTTGGTGTCACTGAATCAATTTGTGGCATGAAGCTGGAATTTGGGTAAGCTAAGGTAGGGTACATAACAGATACTTTTGGATAGGGGTGGAGTAGGTAGGCTTTTATTCTAAAGTCACTGAGGACCCTTTTTCACCAAACTACTGAAGAAAATATCATTCCTTTGGGTGCCATTTTGTCCAGCCTCCACTACAGCTAAGGTTTTGTATACTAGAAATTATAGAGTGAGACAAAAATTATAAAGCATTTCCCAAAGAAACCTCAGGCCAGTACTCCTGCCACTTCTCAGAAAGAAAATTAGGTTTGTGGTTTCTCAGTAAGCTTTTGTACTTCACTTCTGGTTAACCTCAGGTGATGAAAGGTAACCCAACCCTTAAATAAGGCTTGGATTTGAAATTTAATATTCCTTCCTTGTGTGTGCAGGATTTTGGTAAGCAAACAATAGGTATGCTGATTTAAACAACAATTTTTCCGTTAGAGAGAGGAGATTTTGGCACTGACTGTTCTGCATCTACATGATAGCAAACCTCACTGTTTTACGTGCAGGTAGGACCACCATCAATCAGGACTGAGTTTCCTGACTTGTCTGTAACTCTTAATAGTGAATGTTGTAGCCTGACTTAACATAATCAAGCTTTAGTGTTAGTCTCATAGCTGTCAGGTGGCTGAAAGGCACTGCAGCCTATTCCTAAACCCAAGCTAACAATCTATACCACAGCAAATACCTACACCTTTAATGGACTGAAAGATAAAAACCCCACTCTATTTATGCCATACATGCATCTTTCTTTCTGGTAGACAGTGTGAGTTCAGCAATTCCTCTAGACTAACTACGTTATGTTTCTTTAAATAAACCCACTGCGATCTCACTTGCTGAAACAAAGAAGTGAAGGTTGATATATAACCAGTTTCCCTCTGCCTCCTTCTGTGTCACTGTTTTCCAGGCCTCTTCCTATGCGAGGCATTTCAGCGATGTGAGCACACGTTGCACAATGTGATTATGTGCTGCTCCCAACTGAGGAACGTGTCCCACTTGTGGCACATTATACGCTGCTGCCTGCACCTTCCACTGGAACAGAAATTATGTGAGAGTGATTTTATATTCCTGGCAGCTGTCAAATGCTACAACAGAGGATTAGAGGATTGGGGCTCTTTTTTTTTTTTTCTTCTTCTCTGTGTATTGAAAACCAGTATTGCTTCCCCCCTCCCCCTCATGCCTTTAGCTCTGAAGGGGAAGATACATTTCGGTTAATCTCTTTTCCCCGTTGTCATTCTAATACCCCACCCTAACTCGCAGTGCAGGAATTAGCGCCTGTGTGTAATTAGGAGCTAATGAAACCCGCCTGTGCGCACAGGCGCCGTGTGTACCGCTGAGGGGAGGCGGCGAAGAGATCACGCCTCGCCCGCCGCGTTCGCCATCCCGGGTTAGCTGCCTTCCTCCTCTTCCCCCTCCTGCCGCGCGGCCGCCGCAGCGCCGGGAGCAGCACATCCCACGGGGCTCGGATCCCGCCTCCCCGTGCCCATCCCGCGGCGGAGCGGGCTGGCTGGGCAGCGGGCGCCGGGGCGCGCAGGCGCGGCGGGCGCGCGGCGCGGGATGCGGTCGGCGCGAGCGCATGGCAGGAGGCGGGAAGCGCAGGCCGCGCGGCGCGGCGGGAGCCGCCGGAGAGCAGGTGGGGCCGGGGGGGAGCGCCGGGACGCGGCCCGGGACACCCCGGGAAGGGCGGCAGGCGAGCCTCGGGCCTGCACCGGCGCGGGTGCCCTGTCGCAGCGTCGGTCCCGGCTCCGCGCTCCCTGTGCTCCGTCGCTGTGCGGAATGCCCCGGGGCCCCCCGTTCTGCGGCGCGGGAGCCGCTCCTCCCCCTGCGCTTCTCCCGGGACGCCGCGTTTGGGGTGCGCCATCCCGGCGGGATGCGCTGCGGACGGGGCACGCGGTGTCGCTGGATACCTGGCGGCGGCCCCGCTTCGGAGAGGAATGCCCTCCGCGTTGGCCTCTCCTAAGAATGGGAAAGAAACCTGGCTGCTTTAAAGAAAATTCTTATGTTTTCAAGTAGGGGGTAGCTGAGGCTACTGCTCTAGTGGAGTGTGTGCTCAGTATGGATCATTTCCTAGTCTGCTCCGGTTCACGTCACATCATTTTTAACAGCAACTTCAGCTTTAAGCTACTTTTAAAATGCTGCTCTGTAAACTGCGCTACTCCTGATGGTGAATAACACAGTAGGTCAGACAGTAGAGACTAGAGGGCTTTTGTTGTGTCATTTAACCAGGCATGACAAAATAGTATCCCTACTTTCAACTCTCTGTAAATGTGTAAATTTACTGGACGCAGGCTGTGGTGGGATTGGAAATGGTCATTTTAAAATAATTTAGAACTTAGATTTAATTTCTGGGGTTGCTTAGTCCTTTGCTTAATTAACTAATAAAGTGCTTCTGTTGGTTATATCGACTCATTAACATAAAAGTAGCAGTTTGCTCCTTCATACATGTTTAGGACATGTCAGAGACTGCACTTCTAATGGATTCTGTCCAAAATTGGTGTTCTAATCTGTATATATGCTGCTTCAACTAACAGATATGCCCTAGTGGTCCTAATCGTTGTTCCTCCATTAATATAAAGCTTTGTAAAATCCTTTGGTGGAGCTGACAGAAAGCGGCTAAACTAACTCTGGGTTTTCTTTTTTATCTACAGACTGACAAAAATGGAGCTGTCAAGAAGAGAAGATCAAATCAGGCAGATATTCCTGATAGTCTTTGTCAAGAAGCAGAAACATGCTATCGGCTTAGGCTGCCTGAGGACTTCTACCAGTTTTGGAAGTTTTGTGAGGAACTAGACCCTGAGAAACCAAGTGGTAAGGTTTTAAATTTTGTTTTTTCTAACTTTCAAAAACAGCCTGAAAGCAGACAAACTGGAGGTGGGTCAGATGCATTCTAATGCAGCTTCAGTTTTTGGTTAAGATGCAAGATATTTATGTGAGTGTAAACAGGAAACCTGGATATAGTCATACGTATTCTTCAAGCTTTCTAAAATATAATTACTTCAGCCGTGCAATACAAAGGGACTAAATGTTGTCTAAATCTGCCTTTCTCGCAGGTACGTTTAAAATGTTTGATATGGAACTCGAGTTTCCTCAGTGTATTGCAGTTTAACCCTAATCAACAACTAAGTACTGTGCAACCACTCACTCACTCCCCCTTGGTAAGAGAGGGGAGAGAATCAGAAAGGTAAAAGTGAGAAAATGTGTGGGTTGAGCTAAAGGCAGTTTAAAAGGGAAAGCAAAGGCCACATGCACAACCAAAATAAAACAAGGAATTCATTCCCATGGCCAGGCAGGTGTTCAGCCAATGCCAAGAAAGCAGGGCTCTGTCACAGATAACAGTTACTTGGGAAGGCAAATACCATCACTCCAAATGACCCTCCTTCTTCCCCTAGTAAGATGCCATATGGTATGGAATATCCCTTTGGTCACTGGGGTCAGCTGTCCTGGCCATGTCTCCTTTCAGCTTCTTGTGCATCCACAGCCGTTTCGCTGGTGGGGTGAGAGGCAGAGAAGGCTTTAACTCAGTGTAAGCACTGATAAATCTGGGTTTCAACCTCCTCAAATTTATTGTATAACAGAATGTGGCATCCCTGTGTGCTCTAGAAGTGAAAAGTTTTTTTCAAGTTATAGAATGATTTGGGCTGGAAGGGACTATTCAAGTTCATCTAGTCTGATCCCCTAAAATAACCAGGGACATCTTCAACTAGCCCAGGTTGCTCAGAGCTGTATCCAACCTGGCCTTGAATGTTTCTAAGCGTGGGACATCCACTACCTTTCTGGGCAACCTGTTCCACTGTTTCATCACACTCATCTTAAGAAATTCTTTCCTTACATATAGTCTGAATCTACCCTTTTTTTTTAGTTTAAAACCATTACCCCTCATTCTGTTGCTACAGGCCCTGCTAAAAAGTCTGTCCCTATCTTCAGTACCTAAAGTATTTAAAGGCTGCAGTCTCCCTGGAGCCTTTTCTTCTCCAGGCTAACAACCCCAACCCTCTCAGTCTGTTTTCACAGGAGAGATGCCCCAGCCCTATGATCATTTTCACAAACCTTCTCTGGACCCCTTCCAACAGGGCCAGGTCTTTTCTGTGCTGGGGATCCCAGAGCTGGATGCAGCACTCCAGATGGGGTCTCATCAAAGCAGAGGACCAGAATCCCCTCCCTTGACCTGCTTGCCATGCTGCTTTTGATGCAGCCCAGAGTACAACTGGCTTTCTGGGCTGCAACTGCATGTTGTCAGCTCGTGTCCAGCCTCTCACCCACCAGCACCCCCAAGTCCTCAGCAGGGCTGCTCTCAATTTGTTCATCCCCCAGCTTGTGTTGATACCAGGACTTGCCCAGACCCAGGTGCAGCACCTTGCACTTGGTCTTGTTAAAATACATGAGATTCCCATGGGCCCACTTCTCAAGCATGTCCGGGTCCCTCTGGATGGCATCCCACGCTTCAGGTGTCAACTGGAGCATTCAGCTTGGCATCGTCAGCAAATTTGTTGAGGGTGCACATGATCCCACTGTCTTGTCTAATTGATAAAGATTAATATTAAACAGTCCTGGTCCCAGTACAAACCCCTGAGGGACACCACTCATCACTGATATTTGTCCAGATGGATGGGATGAACTGTTGACAGCTACTTCTTATAAGAAGTGTAACAACTCAAAATGAAAGCTATCTGGACAAAAGAATATCTCAGCTTTCCTAGTAAACAGTATTTGATGGAATTTGTGGAAGCTTTTTTGATACCTGAGTGACGCAGGAACTGGGTCTAGATACACACCCACCAGAAGGTAAATCAGTTCATGCTTTGCTTTTCAGATGCACTTGTGTCAAGTGTTGGACTTAAACTGGTTGGACCATATGATATTCTTGCTGGAAAACACAAAAAAGCAAAATCAGCAGATGTGAACTTCAACCTTCATTGGAGATTCTTCTATGATCCCCCAGAATTCCAGACTATACTTGTTGGGGATAGCAAAACACAGTATCACATGGGATATTTCAGGTATTTAATTTCCTGTGTGCTCTTGCTGGACTATAATTATGCACAGTTTTTTGTCCTACTTTCTCCATGAGACCTGATTTGAGACCTGTGCACAATCATCAAACAATATCCTACTAGAGAAGAGGAAGATTCTTAACATATGGTTTGATATCTTTTTATTAAAAAAGATCAGAGGTACTGGAGTTGAAGACTAAATTTAAATATTTATTAAACTACCTCCCCCAACCATCCAGAGCACCTTCACTTACAAATCTTTAACTTTTGCCATGATATTTGGAACATGTATTCCCTCTGCATGATGCAGCAGATGCAAGCTCTCTTTAAGGCATGCTGTAAGATCTTAGAGCTTTAGATCTAAGGGCATTTTTTGATAGGTCTGAAGGAGATGGTAGAATAGGGAGGAAGCAAATTAATTTTGCTTTGAAATAAGAGGAATAGACACAGCTTGACTATTTGTGTGTACTTTTTCTTCAATAGGGATGTGCCAGATGAGCTCCCAGTGTGGGTTGGTGCAAATGAAGCTAAGAAGGGCTGTGTGATTTCACAAGTTGGTGATAATGTCTTTGCGGCGGTCAAGTAAGGTTTATACTTACTTTTATTTATAAAAAATAGAATAGAAACTATTACTTGTGAGGTGCAGAATAATGCAGCTAATGTATTCATGTGTTTTTCTCAAGAAATTCTCACTTATTTTCTGCCACTGCTAGCAAGTCTTAAGGTTCTCTCAAAAGCCTTTATAGGTTTTTTGACAGTGTTTTCCTTTCAGAAGTAAAATAGATCATTGTTAATTATCTCGTTCTTTAAATGTGTTGGCAGGAATAGGCTCTACAGGGGGAAAAGTACCCCCTGGATGTGTTAAAATACTTTGTAAGGAAAGGGCAGGCATCTCAAACAGCTGTGAAGGAAATTGGGAGTATGGCAGAAGCATTTGGCTCTTGTTGTTCTTGCCTATGTAAAAATACATTCCTTTTGTGTATAATGAATAAATGTAAGAAGTGCCATTTCTGACCTTGGGGCAGGATAACATTTATATGGATATGTAATTCAGGATGATTCATGAGGCTTTACATGATTCCATGTCAGGAATGTAAACAATAGACCTCATCCCTGCCGGTTAAAAATAGAAAGCTCTCTAAGGACAGACGTGTGTCAGTCAGTGGAAGCAGGCTGAATAATGGCTCCTGCAAAGGAATCCTTGTGCAGTGCAGAGTTAAACGAGGACACTGGTTTTGAAAGCACCATGAGGAAACTCATTAATATGTATTTGTGTGCATGACTTGGATGACAAATGGCATATATGGCACGAAAGCAGCAAACTTGAATACTTAAGATAGAAAGATGAACAGCTACTGAGTTCAAGAGAATCTTCAGCACCTGCTGATTGCATAAACTAGATGCTAATGCAGATACAGATAAGAAATGCCCAAGCACTGTCTGTGCCAAACTTTTGCTCCTTCTTGTTAAACAAGGCTTGCATTTCCAAGTCTCTGTGTAAATAAACTCAGGACTGCTAATCTTCATTATAAGAACTGGAGGTTTGGTGTTTACAAGCCTATAGATTTGTTTGTTTGTTTTCTGTTAAGACATGTTTTTTCTGTTTGCAGATTATTTTTGTCAAAAAAACTTAAGGAAGTGACTGATAAAAAGAAAAATGCTGTTTTGAGAGACATAGATGAAAAGCTAACAAGGACAGCAAAAGATCTGGGTTATTCTCTGGAACAAAAAACCATGAAGATGAAACAGAGAGATAAGAAAGTATGACTTTCCTCATCCACTGGAGAGAACTAAGTTCTGTTAAACTTTTTTCATTTCCTTTCCTGTTTGTTTTTTTTTTTTTTTTCATCGTTCCAATTAGTAAGGATGCTTCATTTAAGAATTTCCAGAGCTAATCGTCTCTAAAACTTTTTAGGAGAGGGAAGATTAATACAAGTGTGTTCCAAATAATAGGACTAAATAAAACCACAAAATTCAATTAAAAATTCAATTAAAAAAAACACCTCACACCAAAAAAAACCAAACTACCACCAAAAAAGCTACAGTAGGGGCAGTAGTCTAAAAAAAAATAAAACAAATGGAGGACATGGAGAAAACTTGTTGAAAGGGAAGATTATAAACAGTTGGCTACACAAGTGACTACAAGGGTTCCTAGATTTCAGAGCTTGACTGAAATTGAGTTTCCAGTTATTTTAAACTTCAGCACTTAAAAGGAACTGCTATATTATTTGAAACTGAGTTGATGTCCTGGAGGCATGACACTATATTAGGTTTGACCACCAACAGTCAGGTGTTAGTGTTTAGTGAGATGAGTGGTTTTATATCACAGTGCTGTCTTATGGTCCTGTGTTCTTTCCTGTCCCTTTATTCAGGTGGTGACCAAAGCATTTCATGGAGCAGGTCTTGTTGTTCCTGTAGACAAAAATGATGTTGGATACAGAGAACTTCCTGAGACAAATGGTAAATATCTTGTTTGCTATATTCTTCTGCTTTATTTAATAACCTTAAGTCACACAGACTCTGCAAAAAATAAACTCCATTCATATTTTCTACATAGAGTGAGTGGTAGGAGTAAAAGGTAGAAGTCTTAACCATCACACTCAAAGTGTTGTCTTTAGATGAACCAAATGGAAATCAATGAACATGTTAAATCTGAAATAATAATTCCTGAAGTAGTAGTTTAGATGATTTTTTTCTTTTGTATTGGCACAGCCATGCAAGAAGTAGATCCAAAAAAATGATCTATATTCAGGGACTCTTGCCTTTGTTTCTTATCCATCCTCTTCTTCCACTGTTGTTTTAAGCAGAATCAGTTCCTTGATGCATGTTCACCACACAAATAGATGCTTGTCTCCCTCTATGGGGGAACTGAGAGGGATGGGCAGGGGCCAAGAATGAGCAGCCAAGGAAAGGGATAAGCTTTTTCACCAGCAGTTCAGGGTATGCCCACTTAGTTGACACACAGGTATGGTTTTGCCGTAGACTATTCTATGCAGTATTAAATTTATTTCTTTAAACATCTGGGTATTTGACTTTGTTTTTTTGCAGCTAATCTTAAAAAAATTTGCAAGGCTATTGTTGATGCTCCTACTGATGATGAGAGAGTGAAGGCTTTTGCACCCATTCAAGAAATGCTGACCTTTGTTCAGTTTGCTAATGATGAATGTGACTATGGAATGGGGTATGAACTGGGCATGGACCTCTTTTGCTATGGATCACATGTGAGTACTACAACAATCATACTTCACAAAGTTATGCATTATTTTATACATGGACCAGGAATTGTTCTGTGGTGTAGAATAATTATCCCTAGAAATCACAGAAGTCTGCAAGAATATTCTTACTTCATGAAGACTGTTAGAAAGTCACACTTAGGACGTTATTCTGTCTTGAATTTAAAATTGTGCATAGGAAAGCCCAATCCTGCAATCCAGAAGTAGAGTGCAGAATGTCTGATCTAAATACACTGAAGAGTTGGAGCCCCCTGTCCCCAACTGCTTGTATAGACACAAGCACCCAAATTCAGCTGGATCAAGAAAGGGACTGTAATAACCCCAGCTGGAAAAATGTGAATCCAGGTCAGCTGTCTGGCTGCACTGCCTCTGGCTGTGTAGGGCACCTCCCACCTGGGGTCTCTTCCCTGTTTCTGTGTTAAAAATCAGTATCATCAATAAGTAGATTGACTTAATAGCACTTAATTATAGATAAAGATTCTGCTTAGTGCTTTTTGTTCTGTGTTAGTTTCTTTTAGTTCTGTATTAAAACATTCACCCTGTTGATGAAAAGGGTCATGTCTATAATCAGTCTATGGCTAGAAAATAACACAAAAAGTTAAACATCAACCTAGTACGAACGGATCCATACAAAATAGCTGCTTCTAGCAAAACCAGTATTGGTGCTCCAGAGTATCATGTGAAAAATTTTTATCTTTCAATGCTAAATGTAGGCCCAGAAGAGCTGTGCTGAACTTTAGTTAAAATGTTTAGTCATCAAAATGAAGGAAAATTTGCTGCTCTTTCCATGCACTTTTACATTACTAATATATTTCTTAGATTTCCTGCTCTGGTCTCCTAAGTTCTGTACAGCATCTGAAAATGTGTAGTATTTTCCTCTGATACCCTGCTCATTTAGGACCCTTTGTTCAGTGACTAGACTGCTTCAGCTGCTTAAATCTTGTCTGCAACTGGAAGGGCGGTGAAGGAAACAGTTCCTCCCAGCTGGCTGAGTAGGTGAAGGCAAACACCTGGCTTTCACGCTTTGTGCTTCCTGATACACGAGACTAAAACCTGACAGAGTCCTGCAACAACAAATTACGTGTTTATAGCAGTATCATGTCTTCTGTCTATCTTAGGCAGCAGTTTGAAACAGCTGTAACTTTGCAGCTGTTTTCTAAAAATAGAAACCTTCATTTTTCTTGTTTAGTAAACAGAAAGGAAAAAATAGCAGCTTCACACAAGTTACTCTGTGGTTTGGTCCCTGCCTGCTTTGGAGCTCCTACTTGGAGCTGCTTTCCAGTTCTGACTGGAGCTTGCCTGTCCCCTTGCTTAGAGAGCCAGAGAAACACTGACACTTTATCTGTCGCCCAAGATAGGGAACGGGACTTAAATCTTGTCCCCTTCATGTAAGAGCTGTAATCTGCTTACATGTGCAGTAATCATTGCAAATGCTAAATACAGTCTGACATTTTTACATTTGAAGCACTTAAATGGTTGCTACAGGTACCATTGTCATCCCCTCGAGCTGTGGAGCGTGACAAGGCTTGGGCCTGTGACAGGACACAGGACTTCAGCCACAGGCTGGAGCTCTTCATGCTGTAATGGCGCCGTCATTTCCCGCACAGCTAAAAATAGTTTTCCAGCTCAGGTAGCCCCGCCTGACGGCGCTGTGGCTGTGACAGGTGTAGCATGAGGTGCGGGTGAAGGGAGTGGTGTGAACTGGGCAGAGCCAGGAGCTGGCGCTGCCGCGGCATAAACAAAGCCGCTGATGCCCAGGGCTGCTCTCGTTTTCCCTGTCTCCTGCAGTACTTCCACAAGACGGTGGGCCAGCTGCTGCCCCTGGCTTACACGCTGCTGAAGAGGAACCTCTTCGCCGAGATTATCGAGGCGCACCTGGGCAGCCGGCGGGAGGAGGGCCTGGACCAGCTGGAGCCCTGAGCCGGGCACGGGGGCTACGGCGGGGCGGGCGGCCTTGGCTTATCTGTCTGTCTGTGTGTGTGTGTGTTTGCGGGGCTTTTTGTACTCGGTGGCGGTGTCTTGGGGGTCAGTAAAGCTTTTCTAAGGAACGCGCTGTTTCCCGGTGCTGCCTGCGTGCTGCGGGCCCGGCGGGGCGGGGGTGAGGCGCCGGCGGGCGGGGCTGCTGCGGGCGGAGGGGCGGGCGGGGCTGCGGCCCGGACACATCCGGGGCTGGGCTGAGGGAGAGTGGCGAGGGCGGGCGGCTGCCTCGCACCGCCTGGAGCGCCTGCAGGCTCGGCCTGCTGACTGAGGCAGCCAGCTCGGTCCGCGCACACCTGCGGGGCTTCACGGCCCTGCTGCGGGTGAGTGTTGGTGCCGCCGCCTCAGCCGCAGGTGCGGCGTTCCCTCAGCGCAGCGCTCCCGGCTGTGGCACGGCACTAACGCAGGGCCTGGGGCTGGCTCGGCTTGGAGGAATCAAAGGTACGAGGGAAATTCGGAATTCCACTGCAAGTGCTACCTTGCTAATCAGAAGCCGTCCCCTGATTTCAGCACTAACCTGGACATTTAAAAAATGGAAAAGTGATTTTGTACAAAACAGAAATGACATGTTTTCAAGTTCGTTGGCCCACAGCTCTATGAGTTTTATTCTTGGGCAACTGATTGAAATAACAGTCCAGAAACAATGTAAAATAACATTTGCTCTTACTCAACAGACTTGCCACCATGCAGTGACTTCCATTGTAGCAATTCACATAATTACTAATGACAGTAAGTAATACTAATTACTACTGACAAAGATTACAGGCCAGGAGCAACATGCTCAAATTTACGTAGTTTCTACTTTTTTAGCCACAGATTGTACCTCCAATTCACAATATAGGTTAGAGTGCTGCAGAAGAGTATCTTCAGTTTTAAATGAATGAGGTAAATCTACTTTTGTAAATTTGACTTCACCTCTTTCATTCAGCATGTTCCATTTATTCAAGCACAAGCAGACTGAGTGACTCAGGGGCCTGGAATTTTGTTTTATACATAAAAGAGGTACTTTCTTGAATATTCAGTCTTATTTTACTTTTTATGTTCTAAACAGAATACACCTTCATATTAATGCCCTGTAAATTATACACATAAAAAAAAAAGAATCATGGAATGGTTTGGGTTGGAAGGGACCTTAAAAATTCACTTTAGCACTGTTATTTAAATATCAGCTTAGATCTGTAACAGTGGGGACTTTAGACTGGAAATCCATACTCATCTATTATTCAGGTGGTGGAGAATGAAATTTGTTACACCAACTGAAAAATTACTGAAGTGTTGCTCATCATTAAATGGGGAACAGACTTTATCAGGGCCTGCTGCACTAGGACAAGAAAAAAGTTTTCCCTATGAATGGTGAAACACTGGAACAGGTTGGCCAGAGGCGTGGTAGATGCCTGAGCCCTGGAAGTGTTTGAGGTCAGACTGAATGGGACTTGGAGCAATGTGGTCTAGTGAAAGGTGTCCCTGCCCACTGCAGGGGTGTTGGAAGGGGATGATCTTGAAGGTCCCTTCCAACCCAGGCCATTCTGTGAATATACATCATCAACAGCTGGCTTTTAGACAACAAAAGCATCATCCACTTTTAACAATTTTAAAACAGAAAAGCCAACTATTCAATAATTAAAACAAAAATTTAAATGTTTGTTTTGGAAAAAACCCCTACCTAATAGTGACCTGTGGGATTGGGTTGATTTGGCTACTGATTTGTAGCCAAATACTAGGCAATGCAAAGACTGCACCTCCTAAAATTCATTCTTTATCTGCTTACTAGTTTTATATATAAGATTCCTAGCTGTTACTTTTCTTTCTGGGGAAAATGCAAAACCAACATAAATATTGTGAAAACAATGAAAAAGCATGACAGAACAATAAATGGTCATACAGAAGTTTTTAATGTTTGATTAAATCATCACAGTAATGAGAATTTTTACTGTAATGATATGCAGCTCTACCACACTATTATAAATAAAAACATTAAGATCAATATTAAATACAGCTCTAGGCAACATCACAGATTAACAAAGAATGCATTCTTCATGAACCAGTATCTGAATGGTTGAAAAAATAAAAAATGCTGACACTTTCCCCCTCCCATCCACCACATTTTTTTTTTCCCAATTAGTAACTTGAGTAAGGCGCTGCAAGTTTTACATTAGGACATTTCTGTTGCACAGCACAGGCACACATACTTCCTTATCAGAACCTCTACTGTATGTTTACCAGAAGACATATGTCAACAGGGAAAGCTTAGCAGGTTAAGAAGAATAAACAGAGATGCACAATTTATATGCAGCGCTCGGGATCCACACAAATTATAAAACACAGCAGGGGTGTGACTGTATTTTAATTCAGAAAGTACAGTCTGCAGAATTAGGTGCAAGTTAATACAGCACACACAGCAGTGTTTTAGGAGAGCATCAGACATGGCAAAAATTTCAAACTGATTTAAAGCAATTTTTGTATGTGTAGTGTGTTTATATTCTTCCACTGTAGGAAAAAAAACCAGACAACTTCCAGAGCTGTCTTCTGTAAATAGGCCAAATCCTGCTCTTTGAGAATTTTCTTCTTCAGGCTTACACAATGTAACAGCAAATTTTTAACCACCAGCACTGACTCCACATGAAAGTCTGCAGGTGGTTGCTGCAACACTGCTGTTTTAACACAGCCTGATTCCCTGTTGCAGTTCCAAACCTGTTTTTAATTCAGGCCTGATCACTGTGAGCGCACTGGCACATTTCACTTTCTACTGCTTCCAGTTGCTGCAAGAGATGAGATGATGAAATGTCGATGGCAGCTTTTTACTAAGAAAAATAGGTTAAAATTCAGCAGCGCACTTACTTAAGTACAGACATTATTCTGCAGCTTGCCAAAAGTACCGGAATTTTGGTTAAGTGTGTTAAGATAAAATCATACTGAGTACTTGCTGAATAAAGATGTTTGAGGTAACTGTGATGAATGCCATACTTATTATTTTAGTTTTAGTGCCTATATTTTTGCAATTTTTGCAGTCTTGTGAGCATAATTGGTAAAAGAAGGAAATTTTATCCAACCCCATATAATAAAACATGATTTTTGTCAGCCAGATTTCTTAATTTTTTTCCTCCCTAGGAAATATAGTATATTGCTTTTTTTCCTCTGTGTACGTTTGTGGTGGTGGTGGTGGTGGCTTGATAAAATGAATATGAAACAAAATAATCTACTGTAAAGAAGTTAGGGAACTGTCAGTTCACCTACTAGTGTGTGTGTTGCTGCTGAATTTTAAACTCCTGCCAAAGTTTCAAGTACTGCATTCAATTTTCCCCGCCTGCTCAAGTGTGGCTATATATAATTTACACCTCTATGTACTTGGGAGAAAAAAAAAGGAGCCAAAAGCAATTATATAGTTGCTTTCTCCTATTAATTTTTAAACCCTGCAGGTTGTTTTTAAATAAAATTTTAATATTACTGTTCCAGTTATCTGCTAGTAAAGGAAAAAGGAAATCCAAGGTAACGGCAGTGAGAGTTATATTTGAAAATGATCTTGTATGTTATGTTGGATCATAAAGAAGCCATTTTGTTGAAACCCTTCATCTAGTTGTAAACATTTGCTAATCCTCCATTACTTGCAGAGGATTATGAATTATTCTATAAAATCACATTAAAAAGGTAATTAGTTATGTGAGATATTAACTGATTCATATTTAATATATTTTTTTAATCCATACAAATATAAATAAAGAATGGTAAAACTTCAAGAAAAATAATATACATTTAGTGCAAGTTATGACTTACATTTCTTCCTACCATGTCAGCAGTGGAACGTCTTTTGTGGAGAAGAAAAAAATAAAAATGACCGTTCTCAAATTTTACGGGGGGGGGAGGGAAAGATCTCCAGTGTTGTAGCATGCAATTTTTACCAGATACACGTATACAGAATTGTTCCAGCTCTTAAACTAGTAGTATAGCAGTATTTTTCCTTATACTGCACAACATTGGTATATATCATAGTGTTTTCAATAATACAAAAATTGCATAAGACCAGGTCACATTATTGATACTTTCTGCAGCAAAACCAGTATTTTTCTTTGAAATGCTAGTTTCATCTGGTTTTAGTTTTCTCATGTCATGACAGCACATGGGTTAAAAGAAGTCTCACATGGTTCTTGCAAGTTATTACCTGTTCAATCTGGTTTTGTTGCAGTGGATCTGCACTGCCCCAAACATTTCATGATGTACAAACTCACACGTTTAATGGCACAAGAAAAACCTCCCTTCTTGTGATCAAACCTCGGTAACTCACAGTACATCTCAATATGAGAAACAACTGCTTCAAAAGGGCACACCAATTTTAAAGAGGCTTTGTTACGGCTCAGGAGAGAGAGAAATAAAGCTCTTCTGGAATGTAGAAAGGTGACGTGTAATAGTTAATACGTTTCATGAGTTAACACAACAGTTTTCAATGGTAAAAAGGGCAAGACCTTTCAGTCTCCACAAGATGGCTCAATTCAGAACAATCCCTCCAGAAACAGGGATTAATAACACATCTCTTCAATGCTGAAGTACCAGGCTGGGGCTGGAGAATGGCACGGCTCACCCACTGCACTATCATGGCAGACCTGATGCCTCGGGACGCATCCAGTGCAGGACAGCAGCTCTCCCTTCCCACACTCCCATCAGCCTTCCTCCTCGCCACATACTCCCCCAGACCGACTCCTGATTGCCAGCAGCATGGTCACACAAAATCCCAGCTCTCGTCTCTGATTTTAGAAGTACTCCCCAGACTAAAGTGTTGTGCTATTCAACAAATGAACCTCCTCTTCTGTTTCCTCTCTCTCCTCAGCTATGGGCTTCAGTTGAACATTATGGAGGCGGGGTCTTGGTTTGCCGTCTGGGCCATATGACGGAGGATATCTTTTTTTGTTATAATGCCAAGGAGGCGCCTGAAAAGGATAAATGGAAGACTGATATTAATCCAGGCAGGGAAATAATAAAGCAGAACAAATCTGTAGCCAAGTCCTTTTTGTTGACAGGAATAGAGCAAAAGTAAACAGCCTGATTTACTTATTTGAACAAAAACATTTTATTTATCAG